TCACATTCTACCACACCCATTAACCTCACATACACTGCACTGTTACCTGCTGTCTCCTAATTCTTGAATACAAACCCCTGCCTGCGTCTCTGGTACATTTCAGCCGAGTATTGCTCATTAAATCTGACCTGCCACTGGCCTGTTTCTACATTGGTTTATCATCTCTGGTCTTTTTTAATTCTTGTAGATAAACACATCCCCGTGTTCCGTGTCTTTAGTACATTTTGGCCTAGTTTTGCTGATTACAATGAACACTGCTGCTGGCCAGTTGTTACATTGCTGTGTCATCTGAGGTCTCTTCATTCTTGTGGGAAAAAAATCTGCCTTTCTCCCAGGTCTCCAGTATATTTGGGCCTACTGTTTCTTATTAACACTGCCACCGGCCAATTTATACCTTGCTTCCTCATGTGCGGTGCCCTGTGTCTCTAGGACATTTCAGCCTAGTCTTGCTCTGTTTTTACACTGCTTTGTCATCGGGGGTCTCTTGCTTCTTATGCTGGGCACACACCTTACAACCATCGCAAGACTTTTGTCTTGCGATGGTTGTAAGGTAATTAAAAAAACGTACGATCTGCCCATCTTGGACAGGCAGATCGTACTTGCAATGATCGCAAGCCGCGCCCCCCTGAGGGGCGGGGCTTCCGATGACCGCAATGCCGAACGGGCAGTGTGCGCTTGCGCACACAGGCCCGTCCGGCTTTTATCTTACGAACATGCTACACACCCGCCGAACATCGTACGATGCTCGGTGGGTTTTCAAAACATGTTCGCAAGTTAAAAGTCGTGCGACCTTACAGTAGTAGAGGTCGCACGGCTTCCACACACCTTACGATAATCGTACGATCGCGGGATTTCCCGCGATTATGGTAAGGTGTGTGTGCACCCTTAATGAGAGTTTAATCGGCAAGACAGTTTACATCAGAGAGAACAGGGACAGCCTCAGCGAACTGCTGGACTGTTTCTGTCTGCCAGCCAAAGCAGTCCTTTTATTTCCTGATGGAGAAGCATGTGTCGCTGCTAAGACTCCCAGACTCCCAGAAAAATAATGTAACTGAAATCATTCAGATTGCTGCCAGGGCCGTAGCTACCACGGGGCGAGTGAGGCACTCGCCTCAGGCGTAGCTGAGAGGGGGCTCAGCCAGGGCCGGCCTGGCTGCGCCCCCTTGCCCCTGTTGCCATGGAGAGTTAGTAGAGGTCGCACGGCTTCCACACACCTTACGATAATCGTACGATCGCGGGATTTCCCGCGATTATGGTAAGGTGTGTGTGCACCCTTAATGAGAGTTTAATCGGCAAGACAGTTTACATCAGAGAGAACAGGGACAGCCTCAGCGAACTGCTGGACTGTTTCTGTCTGCCAGCCAAAGCAGTCCTTTTATTTCCTGATGGAGAAGCATGTGTCGCTGCTAAGACTCCCAGACTCCCAGAAAAATAATGTAACTGAAATCATTCAGATTGCTGCCAGGGCCGTAGCTACCACGGGGCGAGTGAGGCACTCGCCTCAGGCGTAGCTGAGAGGGGGCTCAGCCAGGGCCGGCCTGGCTGCGCCCCCTTGCCCCTGTTGCCATGGAGAGCACAGGGCGCCATTTGCAACCACGACTCGGCAGGGAGAAGAGGAGCGGCACAGGCTCCAGCTTTTCCTTGGTTCCCCGCTGCTCCCCCTCACCTGTATGGGCAGAGGACTCTGTGTTCTCCATCTCCTTTTCTATTTCTAAAGGGAGATGTCAGGGATCTGTTTAGACCCCTAATATTTCCCCGAAGCCCCCCAACAGTATAAAAAAAAAACACCCATACACACACACACACCCTACACACACACACACACCCATACACACACACACACACACCCATATACACACACCCCCATACACACACACACCCATACACACACACACACACCAATTACACACACACACCCACACACACACACACACACCCAAACACACACACACACACACCCATATACACACACCCATACACACACACACACACACCCATACACACACACACACACGCATACACACACACACCCATACACACACACCCATACACACACACGCACACCCATACACACACGCATACACACACCCCCATACACACACACACACACCCATACACACACACCCATACGCACACACACACACACATACACACACACCCACACAAACACACCCACCACAACAACACCAACTACACACACCCATACACACACACACACACACACACACCCATACACATACACGCATACACACACACCCATACACACACACACCAATACACACACATACACCCCCCATACACACACACACACACCCATACACCCATACACACACCCATACACACACACCCATACACACACACCCATAAATACACACACACCCATACACACACTCATGCACATATTATTAGACATGTGCAAGGACTAAAAATTAGTTTCGGACGAAATGAACAGAAACTAAACATTTTTTCATTAGTTTCGTCCAACGAAACAAATTTTTATGCTATTTTGGATTTGTGCCGCCATCCTGGAGGCGGGGAGCATTACGTCACATGACGCCGTGCGTGCACAGCGATGGGTGACATAAGACGTCTGTTGGGGGGCACAATTGTCTGTTCTTGCCTCGGGCACAAAAGGAGCGAGCTACGGCTCCGGCTGCTGCTGTATGTAAGCCAAGCTAATTGTAAAAGATATAATCCCTACCAAATATGCACTTCCAGCATGAGCTGCGGCTGTCCCCTAAAGTCGTACTGTTCTGTACGGCATTTCCCCGCGCCTGTCAGTGAAAGGAATTGTGTTTTTTTCCGTGCTGCTATTGAAGCCACATAAAAGGTTTTGGCATTGGTGCATGGGACATGATAGTGCCCAGCTTTCCATTCCCTATCATCAGAGTCCCCCATTACATACAAGTCCTTGGGACTCTCATGTAAAAAGGGGGTCTCTGGGGACGCTGACATAAGGAGGGACTATCGAGGCCCTGAATTAAGGGGGAACTCAGGGGACTCTGATGTAAGAGGGAACCCTGATATGAGGAGGGACTCTGATGTTAGGGGGAGCCCTAGGGACTCAGATGTAAGGGGAGACTCTGAAGTAAAGGGGAACTCTGGGGAATCTGATAAAAAGGAGAACTCTGATGTGAGGGGGGAAAGACTCTGATGTGACAAAAGACTCTGATGTAAGGGGGAGCCCTGGGGATCCTAATGCAAGAGGAGGCTCTGGGGACTCTGATGTAAGGGGGAGCCCTGGGGACTCTGATGTAAAGGGGGGGCCCTATGGACTCTGATGTAAGGGGGAACTCTGGGGATTGCAAGAGGAGGCTCTGGAGACTCTGATGTGAGGAGGGACTCTGATGTAAGGGGGAGCCCTGGGGACTCTGATGAAAGGGGGACCTCTGGGGATTCCAATGCAAGAGGAGGTTCTGGGGACTCTGATGTAAAGGGGGGCTCTGTGGACTCCGATGTAAGGGGAGACTCTGAAGTAAAGGAGAACTCTCGGGAATCTGATGTAAGGGGGAACTCTGATGTGAGGAAAGACTCTGATGTGAGGAAAGACTCTGCTGTAAGGGGGAGCCCTGGGGATCCTAATGCAAGAGGAGGTTCTGGGGACTCTGATGTAAGGAGGGACTCTGATGTAAAGGGGGACCCTATGGACTCCGATGTAAGGGGAGACTCTGAGGTAAAGGGGAACTCTGGGGAATCTGATGTAAGGGGGAACTCTGATGTGAGGAAAGACTCTGATGTAAGAGGGAGCCCTGGGGATCCTAATGCAAGAGGAGGCTCTGGAGACTCTGATGTAAAGAGGGACTCTGATGAGAGGAGAGATTCTGATATAAGGGGGAGCCCTGGGAACTCTGATATAAGGTGGAACTCTGAGGATTTCAATGCAAGAGGGGCTCTTGAGACTCTGATGTAAGGATGCCTTTGAGGTGGAAATTAGGAAGTTAGAGGGCCCCTTACAGCCCATTGTTGGGCCCCATAATTATGCAGCTATATGTAAATGTTTTTTCTGTGCCATGTTGTAGGAGAATATTTGATTTGTTGCAAAAATTTTCAAAAGACAAAAGAATCCTTTCAGTTCACCTGGATAGCGCATCTCCTGCTGTACTTCCAGCACCCCCGCCGTCACCAGCACTGCGGGTGTGATAGACAGCCGGGCTGTTGACGTGTCTCTTCGTTCCGCTGTGTACTTGGCCATTCCTAGAATGCAGCTAGAGTTGGGCTTTAACATTATGCTATGGGGCCCCATTGCACTCACAATACGGCATTTGTAAACAATGATAGCTGACAAATATCTGTCCTAGAGTCCTCATCTGTAAAGAGTGCTGCAGTGGAAAGCGGAGGTAGCCACCAATAAGATGTCTGTTTATGTTTTCTCGTTGAAAGTTGAACTCCATTTGTATTCTTCCTCGAATGTCGGTGAGCTTTGTGTGTTTCTTCCAGATCTGTACAGTAATCCAATGTGAGACTTGGAGCTTCCTGTAATAAAGACCGCTCACTGCTGCTCTCTCTCGTTCTGCAGGGTGACTGGTCTTATCTCCACCCCCCTCCTAGGCCCCTCCCACAGCTCTGCTCTCTGCATAGGCTATGTACAGCACAGTGATGATGCCACCACTACTTTTACCATGTGAAACCTGGGTTTGTAAAGGTATTTGGTGCATGCAAAGTGGATATATATCCTTTGTGCCTATTGAGGAATGCATAAAGTTTTTGTGCCTGGAGTTCAACTTTAAATAATAACAAGGTCAACAGTTTCTCCTTCCTGGGTCACTGAACAAATACAGAGATAAGAAATTCTAACGCTTATTTATGGCCTTCATATTTCAGGCCTTTCACTCAAAAAAGTAAAATTGCCAGACACAAGCAGGCATTTATTTTAAAGTAGACCAGCCACGGCAGCCCCCATGCTTCCCTAATGATAAATTCACTTTAAGCCCGCCATCTTTTTGGAACGTTTTGCATTTATGTATAACAAATCTGTTTGTTTTTTTGTCACCACCCAGGTCATGTGATGTGTCTTCTGAACAACAAGATTGGATGGTTTTCACCATGTGACTTGAACAACCAGAGCATGTGATGAGGCATAGAAAAAGCACAAACGCTATTGAGATGGCAAAAGTAAGTGGTATCCATTTTTATCACTTAAAGGGCAACTCGGCTAAAATCAGGAAAGTAGGCAGAGGAAGTGCAGTGTGTTGTACATTCACTCCTTCTCACCCTTCCGGTTCATTTACCATTATGATATCTTTATTATTTTAGTATTTATTTAAAAAAAAAAAAAAATTCCCAGGTCAGTCTGGGATAGTCGCCCCCATCACCCCCTCCCCGGGAGCGGCTCGTAGCCCGGGACTGGAGCGCGGACGGAAGCGGGCCGCCTCTCTCCCAGAGCGCATCGCATGTTCGTTGGGAACCCGGTGCTAAATCATTCATAGACGACCTGATTCTGGGTCATTGTGTTTAGGTATCCCATTTATTATAATTGCCCCAAGGTTCTGGAAGTAACTTCCTCTGGGGAGTCCCCTGGTGACCTATGCTTCCATCTTTTAAGCTGCCTTCCACTTATTGGACTTACACAGCTGCGGTCTGACAGAAGTCACTTCTCAGCACGGCCATAGCCCAGGAACACTGTGACTGTCATTTGGTCGTTGCCCCCACAGCTGCTTTGGAGAGGGGCGGGATGGACCCCCTTATCCCTTCCCAACCCTAACCCATCAAGGCATTTTGATATTTGCACAACTCTAATCAAATTTGCTGATTCGTTCATGTTGGCTATACCCTACACAGCAAATAATTAAACACTGGTGATTTGTATCAGTTTTGAGTCCATAATACTTCCCATCATGTGTAAGCCCTGAAGAAGGGGGAGGTCTTTAAATCCTTGAAATGCGTGGGATGTTCTTTGCTGTTGTTTATGAATCCATTCCATTAAAAAAATCGTTTTTGGTCTCTCATTCTGTCTTGTTTGGCGCTATCATTGGACTGTATACACTGAGTGGCCAAATTATTATGACCACCTGACGTTTGTAGGCAAATGAGCTATAATTTGGCGCTGAAGTTGCTAGAGGGCCAGACCATTATAAATAGGGAAGCAGGTTGGTTACCACGACAGTAGAAGTGATTTGTTTCTGAAGATACGGGGAAACAACGCGATGTAACAGCCTTTGAACGCGCGATGATTGTTGGCGTTTGGAGCCATGGAGCGAGTATCAGCAAAACAGCAGAATTCGTTAAATGTTCAAGAGCAGCTGTTGTTAAAGTGTTTAAAGACTGGACTGTCTGCCGAAAATCTGGGTCTGAACGTACGAATTGTGGCCGTCAGCGACTAGTCAATGTTAGGGCAGAACGGGGGAGGGGCAAGACTGGTACAAGACAACAGAAGGGCAACAGTGCAGTGTCAGATTCCTCGCATCACCTTTCACCATCTCGTGGAGTCACGAGGCGGCCCAACGAAGTCAGCTCGTGGCCCAATGAAGTACTGATGGGGTGGTCATAATAATCCGGCCACTCAGTGTATATATATATCTTTAACCCTGGATTCCCTTGTTTGTAGGACGAGATGCTTTGTTGAGAGTGGCCTCACGGGGACCATTGTGCTTTATCACGTTCAGACCGACCTTCTGAATACTGTATATGAATCCAGCGCCTCTATCGGGGAGTAGTTCGTAGGAGCCCAGATGCAGGGGACTTGCCAATACAAACGGTACCTCCACACAACTAGACCTGGGTAATGCACGGTCTCTCATGTGGTGGTGACCAGCACAGGAGCAGTCTGGAACTTCATAGCTAAATCGATATTATTATTATTATACAGGATTTATAGAGCACCAACAGTTTGCGCAGCACTTTAGAATATAAGGAAGACGTTACAATCACAATACAATTCAAGACAAGATGGTAAGGAGGGCCCTGCCCCTGAGGGCTTAAACTCTAAAAGGGAGGGGGAAGTGATACATGAGAAGGTAGCTGTGAGGGAATTCATTGTTTGAGAACGTGATATCCAAAGCCGTAATCCGTGAGAGTAGCAGGCGTCAGGGGCAGGCAGCAAGGTTCGTGGTCAGGAAGTAGCAAGGTTCGGTACACAAGAAATACACTATAACTAATACGAAGGCAAGCTCTGCAATAACCGAGCACAGAATGATATGTGAGGTTAGCATTTGTGCCTGCTGACGTCAGGGTGCGGTCATCTCTGGAGGCGGGGTTGTTCCTTAATTGTTGAGCACTGCACCTTTAAGAAGATACGCAGTGCGCACTACCCGGCGGCTCCACACGGCGGACATCACAGAGCGGCGGGGAGTGAAGGAGACAGGTGCCGCTGAGCCCGGGGCTGCGGGTGAGAGCACGTTCGACCTGCGGGTGTATGCAGGGACCCCCTTCGTGGTGCGTGGGTGGGTATTACAGCCTCACCTGTACTTGTTCTAGGACGTATATGGTGACCCTGGGTGATTCTTGAACAGTTATGGCACCGTCCTCCTGGGGTGAAAAGCAGTTGAAGCTTTTTTACATGGGAAGTACTGTGAGAGGTAATAAATATCTGGAGGTGTTACTCTGACACATTACTTGGCATGCATGAAAAATACATTTGGTTCTGGGTGTATTGAAGCTTGTTACTGGTAGGTGTGATTGGTCTAATTGACCCCTGAATGATATATTTGGAAGCAATTATACCCAAAGCTGGCTATAGACATTGCTATGCACCCACTATGTAACCGTTCTGTTCTTCAGATAAACACATTTCCACGTGATTGGCTCTCATCCCATGATTTTTATTTTTGTACTTGTGTTTTCAGATGACGCACAGTTGCGCTCTTCTCTTTTTGCTCTGGCTGTCTCGTGTTTATGGCGTAGAAAACAACAACACAACAGGTAAGAGATGAATGTGGGGTATGGCTGATGCTTCGGGTGATGGAACAACATGTGCCGTGTGTCTGGTGAGGGGTTCTGTGGTCCGCAGGTGCCACTCAGGTCCCTGTGGTTGTGTATATACAGTCCACACACCGTTCCATCAGAGACATTGTGTTGTTAATGGGCGGATTAGCTCACGCCACTCTGCATACACACCGGATAATGTACCGTTGAAAGAGATGGGAAGACTTTTATTGACGCAGAGACAGGAAGATGGGGATGCGGAGCAGATTATGATGGAGATGGACAGACAGAAGGGAGAGGGAAGAATGGGGTGTTGCTTGGATGTCAAGAGAGCAGCAAGAAAGATGAGAGAGGCAGGAGAAGAAGGGTGAGAAATATGGGAGAGAAGGGGTGAGAGAGGTGGGGAAAGTCAAAAAAGGAGAGAGAGAGCGAGCCTGGGGAAAAGGAAAGATGAACAAAGAATGAGGAAAAGAGAGAGAGAGGGAGGGACAGGTACCAGGAAAAAGAGAGAGAGGAAGGGGGACCAGGAAAAAGAGAGAGAGGAAGGGGGACCAGGAAAAAGAGAGAGAGGAAGGGGCACCAGGAAAAAGAGAGAGAGGAAGGGGCAGGGGGACCAGGAAAAAGAGAGGAAGGGGCAGGGGGACTAGGAAAAAGAGAGGAAGGGGCAGGGGGACAAGAGGAACAGAGATTAAGACTAAAGAGAGAAAGAGAAAGCTTGGGAAGAAGGACAGACAATGGGGTGGGGGGCAGAGATACAGCATAGGGAGAGGAAAAGCCCAGAGAGAAGGATATGAGGATTGCTTTGGAAGAGAGGCAGAGATGCAACTTAGGGAGAGGAAATGCTCATAGAGAAAGAGATGGAGATTGCTCGGGAAGAAGAAGTGATGGTGCATGAAAAGAGAGTTGGGGGAAGACAAGGGCAGAGATACAGCCTAGGGAGTGAAGTAGATGGAGAAAGCTTAGAAAGAGATAATTTGAGAGAAGGGTCGGGAAGAGAGGGGCAGAGATACAGCCGATGGAAAATAAATACTCAGAGTGAGGAGATGGAGAGGGCTGGGGACGAAGGAGAGAAAATGAGGGGAAGAGAGAGGCAAAGATACAGCATAGGGAGAGAGAAAGCTCAGAGAGAAGGAGGTGGAGATTGCTTAAGAAGAGGACGGGACAAAGTATGGAAAGAAAGTTGGGGGAAGACAGGGGCAGAGATACAACCTAGGAAAAGAAAAATCTCAGAATGAAGAAGATGGAGGTCACTTTGGAAGAAGGAGAGAGACAGTGGGGGGGAGGAGGCAGAGATATATAGATACATCATAGGGAGAGAAAATTCTCGAAGTAGGAGATGAAGATCGCTTGGGAAGAGACAGAGTATGGAAGGAAAGTTGGAAGAAAACAGGGGCAGAGATACAGCTTACAGAGAGGAAAGGCTCAGAGAGAATGAGATGGAGATCGCTTGGGAAGAAGCAGAGAAAGTTGAGGGAAGAGCGGCAGAGATAAAGCATAGGGAGAGGAAATGCTTAAAGGGAAGGAGATGAAAATCGCTTGGGAAGAGACAGAGTATGGAAAGGGAAGAGACAGAGTATGGAAAGGGAAGAGACAGAGTATGGAAAGGGAAGAGGCAGAGTATGGAAAGGGAAGAGACAGAGTATAGAAAGGGAAGAGACAGAGTATGGAAAGGGAAGAGACAGAGTATGGAAAGGGAAGAGACAGATTATGGAAAGGGAAGAGACAGATTATGGAAAGGGAAGAGACAGATTATGGAAAGGGAAGAGACAGATTATGGAAAGAAAGTTGGGAGAAAACAGGGACAGTAGACTAGAGAGAAAAGACAGAGAATGGGAGAAGTAGCATAGGAAGAGAGAAAGATCAGAAAAGACACAGTATGGAGAGAGAGAACTTGGGGAGAGAGAACTTGGGGAGAGAGAACTTGGGGAGATAGAGGGCAATTGTTAAGGGAGAGGAAGAAAGAGAGCGTTGCAAGAGGGACAGAAAGAAGACTTGTGCATACGGAGAGCAATAGTGCAGGGAGAGAAGGACAGATAGAGATCCTTGCTAAGTAGGTTTTTGTAGAGCTTGTGAAAAGGAAGAGACAGGTAGGA